GTTTCAGCCTTGGTTCGGGTGCTATCTCTTGGAGATCCACTCGCTCGTCGTCTGTGGCTCAGTCTAGCTGTGAGGCTGAGATCTACGCTGGTGCCATGGCGGCACAGGAGCTCCGCTGGCTGACCTTCTTGCTCACAGACTTAGGTGAGCGGCCTAGCTCTGCCCCGGTCCTGTACGCTGACAACAGGGCCATGATACTCCTGTGTCAGGAGCCTCGGCTTGAGGGCAGAGCGAAGCATATCCAGCTGCGGTACTTCCTCCTGCGCGAGCTACAGCAGCGCCGCCAGGCCCGCGTAGTTCACTTGGCCTCAGGTGCCAACACAGCTGATATCTTTACTAAGGCGCTTGCGCCTAAAGATCATCAGCGGCACTGTGTACAGCTTGGTCTTGTTCCTATAGCTGCTCCCCTGTTAGGATCCTGATTGTGTACTCTCTATTATATATGCTTGTCAGACTGGCCTTGTGGCCTTACCTCCAGTGGCTGGACTAGTAGTGCCACCCTGGCTTGCTTCAGTTTTGGTTGTATTCTTGCTGACTGGTCTCCAGACCCCTGCCTCAGTGGTTGGACTAGTAGTGCCGCCCTGAGCTGTTTGCTTCTTGTTTAGTTTCACCCCTTGTCTAGCCTAGGGGGTGTGTCAACTTATACATATTATCTATGTAGAAGTTATAGGCTAGACTGAGGTATGCTTCTAGTGAGTACAACCAACTAGTATTTGTTCTAGGTTTCCACCTCTAGTAATCATTCGTTTCTACGTTAACATGGACTAGTAGTGCCACCCTGAGCTGCTTGTCTAGAACATTCCCCTATGCAGTCCAGGGGGTGTGTCAAACATGTTTAGTTATCATGCTTGTATAGACTGTATAGGGTCATCTTCTAGAGAGTACAACTGTTAGGTATATGTTTGTGTACTCTCTCTCTCTATTCATCAATTTCACTGTTTGATACTAATATGTATAAGTTGACATGCACCGCCGATCGCTCCCCCGGATCCGGTGTCTCCTCCCTCGTTGCAGTCGCCGCCGCATGCGGTCCCTACTTATTTTTTCTAGGCTTAACAGGTGTGTCAAATATAACTTTGTATGTTATTGTAGCCTACATTGCCTTCAATCCTCACATTGTAGTTCTTTTTCCATTCTTGGAGATTGTCTGCTTTTTAACCTAGCCGCTCTAATTTTTTTTCAGTTGCATTTATTCAATCATTTTCCTTATGTTCACGATCTCTATTTTCACGAAATCCAAGTGCTCTGGGAAGTACCAATACAGGCAGCTTACAGAAATTTTAGGAGTTTATAAATTCCGTCAAAAATGTTGACCCTACTCCCATTTCTCGGCAACAAGATTGGCGAGATCCACCACACGCTGGGAATAGCCCCACTCGTTATCGTACCATGCGACGACCTTCACCATGTCATCACCCATGACCATGGTCAGGGAGGAGTCGATGGTGGAGGACACATCACTGCACCGGAAGTCGACTGATACAAGGGGCTCATCGCACACAGCCAGGACTCCCTTCAGAGGACCGTTAGCAGCCTCACGGAAAGCAGCATTCACCTCTTCGGCAAACGTCTTCTTCTCGGTTTGAATTACAAGGTCGACAATGGAGACGTTCGGGGTAGGCACGCGAAGAGCAATGCCGTTGAGCTTGCCCTTCAACTGCAAAGATGAAGGCCAATTAGTCAGAACCTCGGGAACACGGTGAACAGGAAAAGCAAGACTCAATTACTAACCTTAGGGAGGACGAGAGCGACAGCCTTCGCAGCACCGGTAGAGGTGGGCACGATGTTGAGCGCAGCAGCGCGAGCACGACGCAGATCCCTGTGGGAGGCATCCAGAAGGCGCTGATCACCGGTGTAGGAGTGGGTGGTGGTCATGGTCCCCTTGACGATACCTGCGACGACGGGTACTAAAATCAGCTACTTAATTTGCATTTCAACGAGAGAGTACTGCTGCTTGTCATCATCACTTACCGAACTTCTCCTCAAGAACCTTGACGAAGGGGGCAAGGCAGTTGGTCGTGCAGGAAGCGTTGGAGATGATGACGTCACTGTGCTTGTACTGGTCAGCGTTCACTCCAACGACATAGGTAGGGATGTCTCCCTTTCCAGGGGCAGTGATAAGCACCTTCTTGGCCCCAGCCTTGATGTGCTTACCAGCACCCTCGTTGTCGATGAAAACACCGGTACCCTCAATGACGAGGTCCACACCCATTTCTCTGAAACCATACGAAGGAATAATTAACTCATGGAAATATGGGGAAACTCTTTGGAGGGTGAACAAATGTATTGATTCTCACCCCCAGGGGAGGTTCATCGGGTTGCGGTCAGAGACGATAGCAATCTCCTTTCCATCAACGGAGATGGCCTTGTCAGAGACGATCTTGACGTCGGCACCGAAAGTACCCAGCATAGAGTCGTACTTGAGCAGGTGGGAGGCCTGAAAACGGGAAGCATAAAATAAAGATCTGTACAGAGAACAATAGTCAAACAGCTTATAATGTGAGCATCCACCAACCTGCTTCACACCGCCACTGTCGTTGATGACAACGACATCAAGGGGGGAGTCCTTCCGGCCGTGCCAGCAGCGGATGAAGTTACGGCCGATACGACCGAAGCCATTGATGGCGACCTTGATCTTCGCCTCAGCAACAGCACGCTTGGCGTTGCCAGAAGCCTGCGGAAGCAAATTTCCAACTTGAGTGAACACGGGACGTAATCGAGAAATTACACCACATCAAATCACGACTTCACGTACCACAGAGGTCTGCGCTCCAACACGCACAACGAAGTCATCAGACTTCTTGCCAAAGGTGGCAACACTGTTAGCCTTCAGGCCCTCGAAGTCACCAAAACCCTTGGCAGCGACCTATACGCAAAGCCAGTAAGTTGAGAACAGTCAGAATCCGACATTCAGGGAATCTCCCGATGCTAAGCATTAAAAACGAAGCGCACCTTAGGGGCGCTGACAATCTTGGAGGAAGACATGAGAGCGGCAGCCATGGTTGCCACTGAAGTGTTGGCAAGAGTACAAAACGGATAACTCCAGAAATTGTCTCGCCGGACTTATTATGACTGCGAGGCTACCAAGAGACCCCGTGGGATGAGAGTGTTCAAGCAAAGGTAATCCAAAAGGTCTCAGGCAAAAAAGACTTCTGCCCGAACCTGCCACGGAGGATCGAGTGCCAGGCATTGGCGTTCACTTCCCTGCCCAACCGACGAACATTTGCTTCGGGCACCACTCGAACTTCTTCTGGACCAAGCATCAGCCCTGAAGGTGTGGTGTCTGGGCAACTGGAAACATGCGATTGTCATTCGCGAGAACCAGATAAGCTGGCACACGTCATGTCGATCACACCACGTAAGCACAGGTCCTTCGTAATGGCCGTTGCTTTCGCAGAGGGCTCTCATCCACTCTGGATCAAGATTTTCCTTTGGTCCGCCAGCCTCATCTACCCTGACCAGGAACCCGCGAGCCACACACTCACAATAGAAGAGCCACGTGGAGATGCCATCAAGAGATGACAGCTGCGCACAGACGTGCATCCAGTTACCTGAACTCGTTACGGCAGCTACGAGATAAAACAGCCAGTTCTTACTAAACTGTACTTTAACCCATATGCCCCTCTATCTCCGCTTAGAAGAACGTCCAAATCCCCAAGGCTCATACGCCAGTATCGGAGAGCTTCTGCTGTAAGGAGAGAACGTTTCCTTCCTGGGGATCACTTCAGCGAGTACACGCAAATAGCTCGCGTCCGCATCCTCGGCCCTCAAACCTCGCACCGAACCAGCCCCCACTTACCTACCGTAAACGCCCTGATATATGATCCTAGGGTCTTTTTTCGTATACTAGCTAAAAAAGGGGGGTGAGTCTTATAAGGAAACCCTAAAATAAATTACATGGGTGATATCTCGTACACATAAAATTCAACTTTTTTCTTATAGTTTTGTTACTCGTTTACATTCCTTACTCATTGTCGAGTACTTATGCCCATTCTCCCTCTTTTGTACGCAGAAGTCAAGCTGTCGCGATATGTTGGAATCTGATTCGTTCAAGTGAGCATTTGATTTGGCAGGAAACCCCTAAGGAAACATATTGGAAGCGATCCGACTCGTCAGGGTATCGATCAACGGTTGGATTTTGGGCGAATTCCTATGAAGTAGGATCAGGATCAATAATGTTTCTGATCCTGCCGTTTTACTACATGCGGATCAACAATCCTGTAAAGCGATCGCAAGTGAATTTCGCGTGGGAACCTGGATACTTCGCACGATCCTACGTGTACACCCCTCACTTTCAGCACAAAATTCTCTTCGACTGCCCAGACTTGACCACGCAAGTTTACAGTACAGTTGCAAACTCCTCGCCACGCATAACCAGACTGGTGGGAAACGTGTGCTCCAATCACGAGCAAAGGAATTCACATACCGAAATTCGAAGCCAGCAGAAACACAAACGAAATTCGTTTTTGTGCCCGTCGCGTGCCGTATGTGGGTTTTCAACTTTTTAGAGTTTCGCTTCGTTGCACGTCGCGCATCGGCGCACTTATGCCACGCGGCGCTTGCTTAGCGCTCGTTGGGTGCTGTCCCGAATGTGTTTGTAGGGGCAGGCAATCGGAGGTCCCTGTGCAACGCTGTGGTGGCACCATCGTTTATGATCTTAGCGTTAAAGACCGGCAACGGGATCAAGAATGAAGTTCGCGTTTCTGATTATGATCCTACTTTGTATGAATTCGCCCTTTGTCTCCATATTCAACACAGTGAGAAAATGGTGTCTTTGTCTCGATTGGACCGAAAATTTGCCACTTGGTGAATTTCCACCCCACCCTACGCTTCTTTGAGCGTTCAAGCCCTCACTCTTCACATGTCACAATGTTTTCTGGTGTTAAATTATATAGGTTATATATAATTGTAGGCTTGGTACAGTGACGGAAAAAACTGTCCGGATGTTTGACACTAAGCAGGGTTTTTAGGCTTTTCGACCACGGTATATAAAGTCTTAATGTCTAATGTTGGTACGCTTTGGGAGGGGCACATAGTGGATGTGTTCAGTGCGCTAAAACCCATAGTAGTACACTGGATCTAACTTAGTGCCAAAAGTTATACAAGGGGGTCATCCGGACAGTTTTTTCCCGGGACAAAGAGCAAACTTCCAAACAGGTTTCTAGTACCTAGTACACCGACCCTTGGCCTTGATCACCACCCGCAACCTCCTAGGCGTGTTATTTACACGGCTAGTGCAAACCGTTGTAGAGATCTTCTCGCACTCTTCTTGGACCCACCCTTTTGCATAAGGGGGTGAGCACTTGGAAAATCGCGAAGGATTTGAGCGTCTGCAAGAGTTTTGTGCACGATTTCTGTTTGAATGTTACGTATGAGGGTAGCCACACTGAGGTATGACCAAAGATGCCATTAGCCGATTGATTCCATCTTATCATGGGTTGTCTTTATCGTATTGCTGTAGGGTAAACCCACGAACAGAGCGGCGAAAAATAGTGCATATGCCGTGAAACTGAGGGTAACGTAGCACGGTCGATTATTCATCCTTGCACTATTAGAACCACGCTAGGATCTGCATGTCTCGTCACAGTGCAGCAGTCGAAGAAGTCGCGACTGTTCGGGAAGAATATCGGGGTTGAGGTCTGGTGAAGAAAAGGGTCACTCCAGTGCAACATACTCATGCTCCCCAATGCTCTCCAAGCCATTTTTACCGCCTAGGCTTGGAATAGCATTGGAGAGCATGAGTATGTAGCACTAGAGTGGCTCTTTTCTTCACCAGACCTCAACCCGGATATTCTTCCCGGACAGTCGCGACTTCTTTGACTGCTACACCATAACGAGAGCTGCGGATCCTAGCGTGATTCTAATTGTGCAAGGATCAACAATCCACCATGCTACATTACCCTCAGTTTCGCGGCATATACACTAGTTTTCGTTCCTCTGTTCGTGGTTTTACCCTACAGCGGTACGATGAAGATGACCCATGATAAGATGGAACCAATCGACTAATGGCATCTTTGGTCATACCTCAGTATGGCTAGCCTCATACGTAACATTCAAACAGAAATCGTGCACAAAACTCTTGCAGACGCTCAAATCCTTCTAATTTTCCTAATGCTCACCCCCTTATGCAAAAGGGAGGGTCCAAGAAGAGTGCGAGAAGATCTCTGCAACGGTTTGCACTAACCTCGTAGATAACATGCCTAAGAGGGTGCAGGTGGTGATCAAGGCCAAGGGTCGGTGTACTAGAAACCTGTTCGGAAGTTTGCGCTTTGTCCCGGGAAAAAACTGTCCGCATGACCCCCTTGTATAACTTTTGGCACTAAGTTAGATCCAGTGTACTACTATGGACTTAAGTGCTGTGAACACATCCACTATGTGCCCCTCCCAAAGTGTACCACCATTAAACATTAAGACTTTATGTACCGTGATCGGAAAGCCTAAAAACCCTAATTAGTGCCAAACATGCGGACAGTTTTTTCCGTCACTGTAAGTGTTACTGAAACCTACTATAGAGGGTACAACCCTCTCCTTGTATCCCTCTCTCTTCTAATCTCGAACACTTTTTCTCCCGTAACTTTTGGTCCCTTCCTAAACCCTCTCGCCTACTTTCATGGCCGCCAAGCTTTTCTAGTTCAAACATTTGGTTCCTCTTTCGCGCTACTGTTTCCCCGCAGCCCCCTTTCTATTCCCTTCTTGCTCGCTTCCCGCCGTACTTTACATTTGCTGCGGAAATCACGGGAAAGAAAAGAAAAAAAGAAAAAAAGAAAGAGAGAGAGAGAGAGAAAGAAAGAAAGAAAGAAAGAGAGAAAGGAAAGGAGAAGACGAAGAAGAAGAAGAAGAAGAAGAAGAAGAAGAAGAAGAAGAAGAAGAAGAAGAAGAAGAAGAAGAAGAAGAAGAAGAAGAAGAAGAAGAAGAAGAAGAAGAAGAAGAAGAAGAAGAAGAAGAAGAAGAAGAAGAAGAAGAAGAAGAAGAAGAAGAAGAAGGAAGAAAGAAAGAAAAAGCGAAGAGGGTCTAAAGCTGGCTACACTGAAAAAGGGAAGTGTCTTGTCAGTCGATTGCCATAATAAAAAACCTACCTGCCAAAAACAGCCTATGGGTCCTCAATATAATCGGTCATATATCCAGGCATCCCAAACCCATTTCGCCCCTGTCGGCCTCGAGACCAGGGCTTCAGATTGGATTTTGAGGGGTTGTTGGCTCAAGGTGCCCCCATCAGGAGCCCCTGTTTTTCAGGGTCGGGTTTTGGAAGTTGCAATTTTCTTAAGGGTAAATTTTTTTTAAGGCTGGATGATCAGGACTGAAATTTTTCAGAGCTGAGATGATAGGGTTGAACCTTGGCGATTTTTTTAGGGTGGGTAGGATTTTAACCTAGCACATTATGTTAGACAGTGCATGTTTTGTCAGGCAAAAAAAAAAAAAAAAAAAAAAAGCTTGACTCATCAAGTAGATTTTTTAGGTTTCTGATCCTTAGATCGGATCGAACTTCAATGTGTACAAATTGTCTCACTACCAGCGTGATTTTGGCCAAGGACCAGTCACGCCCCTCACACGTGCTCCAACTCGCGTCAGACTGTCTGCGTGATTTTGGCAAAGGACCAATCACGCCCCTCACATCTGCTCCAACTCGCGTTACCTACGTCATTATGCCTAAGGTCCAGTCACGCCCCTCACACCTGCTCCAGCTCGCGTCAAACTGCCTGCGTGATTTTGGCGAAGGACCAATCACGCCCCTCATATCTGCTTCAGCTTGCGTCACCTGCGTCATTTTGGCGGACAAGTCACGCCCCTCACAGCTGCTCCAGCTTGCCTCGACCAGTTAGATAGGATTCTGTTTTAGGCTGGATATCCGTTAAGGCTGATAATTCAGTGTGACCAAAACAAGAACATACAATATTTCAGGCCTGCTCAAATGAGAACCCCTAAAATTCAGGCCTAGGAAAAATCAAAGGCTGAAAAAACGGGACGACAGAAAAAAAAAACACCTGATATACAGCATTTCATGGCATTTTGTCCTAACTTCTGAAGCCCTGCTCGAGACCCTCGCGTTCTGACTGGCCGAGCTCGGAGGTCCTGCCCTAGTAAGTTTAGCCTACAAAACACACCCCTAGTTCCATTTCCTTCATTCTTTGTACGATCTGTTAGTCACGCTCCTTTGGCTATTTTCACAACACTTTCTATCATAGCTAGGGTTCTGGCCATCTTATTCCAGAAGAGGAGCAGAATTTATCAGGGAAGGTGCCGTAATGATGCTCATGGCGAGCGTCTCCGATGCCGCTGAGTCCTCTCCGATGGACAGCTAGGATAAGCCTCAGTGTCGGGAGATCCACTGGGGTCGCCCTAGATATCCTCGGAAGGGTCCCATTCCTCTATGCCTGGAGGGTTATGGGCACGCAGACTCGCTAATTAACAAGCCCTTTTATTACAGTGGTTTACGGATGTGCTTGCTTGAGATGGTATCAAAGCCAAGGGTCTCGAATGCGAATCCCAGCATGCATTAGAATGAGTACCAAATCCTCCGCCTACCCAAGCGAGGAGGTGTTGACTAGGAGGGTGTGATCGTGTGCGTTGCATGGTCATGAGAGATCCCCAAGGCCAGGTAGCACCGCAGCTCTCCCAAACCTGTACAAGCATGTCGCCTGAGCAGCTCGGCCTTCACTGAGGCTAGTGCGACTGTGTCTGGAGCAGCAAATATAAGGTCCTCTACGCACACAAGTACATGTAGAACGGAGTCTGACCAGCACAAACAAAGAGCGAAGGGTCAGCAGAGGACATGAATAACTGGAGAGCCGAGAGTGTAGTGCGGAGCGTGTCGTGCCACTCATGGGGCTCCTGGCGTAGACTGTAGACAAGGCGGCGCATGCTCCACATGATCCAAAGAGCGAAGGACTTGGTGAAGTCTGGTGGGTGGCACAGGAAGATCTGCTCGTGTAGGCTGCCCCGCAAGAAGGCTGTGAAGAAGTCCAGAGAGTGTAGCTCGTAGTCGCGCTGTACAGCGATGTGGAGGAGCATCCAAATAGTAGACATCTTCGGGGTAGAGGAGAAGGTTTGAAAGAAGTCCACATCCTCTCGCTGACTGAAACATCTAGCCATATACCGCGCCTTGAAGTGCAGCGGCTCTCCAGGCGGGCGCTTCACCTTATAGATCCACATGTCATCAACTATGTTCACTTCAGGTGGAGGAAGTTTGTCGACGTAAGTGCCAGTGGATCTAAAACATGTCATCTTTGCCTACTTGGTTGCCAAGGCCCCCTAGACCACTTCAGCGTACGAGCGTACGGTAGGGATGTCGAGAGCATGCGGGTCACCCTTAGGGGACACAAGCATGGCGCAGGGATGAGGTACATCAGCCGCAATGAGAGCTAGCTCGTATTGCTTATCCTCTAGAACGTCACTACCAAGAAGAGATGGACCCCCGACGGACGGAGGACAGGCAGGATCAGAGGCCAGGGCGGAGGCGTAGTGAAGGCGGTGCCTCGCGACAAAGTGAGCGACAGCAGCGACAAGGGCAGAGCCACCCTCAGGAGGAGTGGTAGGGTTCGTGACAATCGACGCAAGCAAGCGGGAGACGAGTAGATGAGCAGTGCGAGCAGAGTCAGGAGGAGGAGAAGAAGACAGGGGTAGGGATGACTGGGGAGGGAGAAGTAGGACAATGGAGGAGCACAAGAATGAAGGACCATAGGGTGGACATGAGCACGAGGAGAGACACGACGACCGCTAATGGGACGACGCACCCAGTGGGGCAGGGGGGGAACAGGGGACATGACAGAACGGTCCGGAAGGGTGAACATCTAGTAAATGCCCTCCGCACGATAGAATGCACCAAGGCTCGCCAATTGAAGTCCGCTCCGTCTTCCGCAGCGAAGCCCTGCCGTCCGCTTGACACACGGACTGTCGGGCGCACGGGTACTGGTTGTACTACGGAGTGGCTTGTGCTGCCTGTTGGGCCATCCACTCACGGATGAGCCAAGTAATTACCGTCAGGGATTCCTGATGGCACTGGCGAATGGTGTCCACCATGTGCCTCGCTCCCGCCCTGGTCGTGTTGTCATTTACACGACAGCGCGCGGATGTAGTTGCCCCCTTCTGGGACGGGACTGGAAATAGGGGGTGGGAGACACGTGTGACATTTGGGGATCGGGGGTTGCCTTGCGTGTTCATGAATCATCTTTAATACCAAGTTATGAACAAACTTCTGATGTCGAACTCAAACTCGAAACTCATGCGCACTTCCAGGCGGTGGGCGGGGTTGTCGTCAAGCGCCTTCTGGTGCCGAAACATGCAGACCTGGCTCCACAATTACGTCCTCGGCGCTGGCGCCGTCGAGCGCGTGTGGGTCAGCGGCAGCTGTATCCCTCTTATACAGCTCCATGTAGTCCCACCAAGGCGGCTTGCGCACGGCGCCGCCTCCGCTTGCCGTGTCTCCCTTGCGCATGTGTTTCCAATTTTACCACCAACTTACACCAACGCTTCTCGAGGGCATTGACGTTGTGACACCAGCCCTCGTTCTCAGCTGCTAGATGCGCGGCGAGCTTCTGCCAGTATTCAGAACCTTGCTTCCCAAGCTGTGGGTTCAGCTCTCTGTCGTGAACCACCACACAGCGACAAATATGGTGCTCTCGCGCATAGGCCACCACGTCCCTGCTGCACGTTCGGCGAGAGGCGCCTCCTTCGACTGTGCCTTGCCATTGGCCACTGCGGCATGAGGCGGAGTGTTGTTGGTGTCATCATCCCCGCGCGTCTTGTCTAGTTCATAGACATCGTCGTCATCATCCCTCCCAATGCCATACTGCATGTACTCGACATCGTCAGGCTGGAACTCAGCGTCGGCGGCGGAAGTCAAATCGATGCCTAACACAAAACCCCGCTGAAGCGAAGTCGACGTGGCTGGAGGCAGGGGTGGGGATGCGGCTAGAGTTCTGGTTGGAGGAGGAGAGATTACGAATCTCACCCCTACGGTGCCCGCTAACGACCTGCTCCCTCATCCAACGGATGTACGGGATCTCATTGAGATCCAGAGGGCATGGGTTACTAGAGTCGGCCTCTTGGCCTTTACGCTTACGAGCCATGAGAGGAGCTCCCTGACTAGAGCCTGGTGAGGATTAGCGGGGGAAAGACGAGGTGAGATAGCAGAAGCGATGGCTTCTTATGTACTTCTGCTAGCAATTGTGTGAGCGGAGGTTGCTCTCCGTTTGGGTTTTCAGTTTGCCTTGATGGCAGTTTTGTGTTTGCCTACTTTTTCTTCCCTGGGTTTGAGGATTGGTCAGCTGTTCGAGGCACGCTTCTCCCAACATTTGGGAGCATGCGGCAATTCACACCTGTCAACGGGTTGTTTCCAATTCATCATTTTGAACAGCGGACATTGCGGGAACCAATCGTCTATTCACTAGAATCGCATAGCAGCCGCGAGCCAAACTGACGAGTGGCATTGTACGCGAGAACCTCTCGTCGCTTCATAAACTGCCACGACGAAAGCCCCATACAAATGTACCCTAACCTAGGCTAAGAAGGGAAGCTAGGGTGGGAGGAGAGTGGGTAGTGTTAGAGTAGCGGGAAAAAGTGTGACAAGGAAGAGGGGGAACGGAGATACAAGTACAAGAATATTGTCCTCTCTAAAAACTGACCTATCTAGGCTATAACAAACATATCTAATTAACTTAATATGTGTAGACATAACTATATGTTTGTTGACACACCCCCTAGCCTAGCTAGAGGCACAGTTGAACAAACCAGGGCAGCACTACTAGTTTGGCCTATGGTGAAAAGTACCAGGACAACTCAGGGCAGCAAGACTAGTTTGAAAAATAAGACAAGGGGCCACAAGGCTAGTCAATAGGTGTAGCAAGACATGCAGGCATAGAAATAGCAAATACAAGCTGGCATGATAGATACCATGATACAAGGAGTGGTGCCGCGACTGAGACTAGACCAAGCCGAGTACAGAACCGCTGATGGTCACGAGGCGCAAGTGACTTGGTGAAGATATAAGTGGTACTGGCCTCTGTGGCCATGTATACCACTTGAGTCTGGCCGCGCTGCTGCAACTCACACAGCAGGCAGTACCACAGCTAGATGTGCTTCGTCACCC